TTTTAATATAGAAAGCAGGAAAACAAAAACCAGATAAAAAGAGCAAAAGAGAATTTTTGAAAAAATGAACCAAAAAAAAGAAAGAAAGAAAAGAAAACATGTTGAAATACATATATATATAAAGCAAAAAGCTCAAATCATAAACAACAAATTAAATTTCAGTTGGACTTTCCACAATGATAGAAGCCCAGTTCATAGTAAACCTATGTGCTCCATCCAGGGTTTTAAAACTCAATCCAGAGTTATTTAGACTTTGATAGGCACCAAATTTTGGGAATACAATTTAACATTACATTTACATCTCTAAGCCGTATTTTTTCCCTCAAAATTCTATGAACAATCTTACAACTATTAAACCAAAATAGCTTTCCACCAAAAAAATAGAGTTAATGAAAGGTCGTATTAGACCATCTTGGTTAGTCTAGCTCTTAGTTAGACTGCTGCAATTCACTTTATGTGGGACTGCCCTTGAAGATGACACAAAAGCTGCAGTGGGCACAGAATACGGTGGACTGTTTTCTGATCAGTGTTAGCTGCTTTGGCAGAATAACACCTGATCTGGAGGAGTTGCATTAGCTGCCAATAACTTCTGGGCCCATTTCAAGGTACTGGTGATTATCTATAAATGCCTTTATAGCTGGGCCCTGATTACCTCTGGAACTGTCTTCTTCATGTAGAATCTGCCCATTTGGATACCAAACTAAAAAAAAAATCAGGGTTTGGGACTTGGAGAACAACATTCTCAGCAGTAGCCCCCTCTGGAACAGACATGCCCCTACCCTGATGGCATTTTGCAAAATGGCGAAAACAGTCCTTTTTAGAAGGGCATTTGGGTTTGCTTGTCAGCAGCAACAGGGTTTGCTAAACCTTTTATTAGTACTATTTATTGGTTTTTAATGGGCTTGGTTTTATGAGTATTTTATTTATTGCATTTGTTGTAAGCTGCCTAGAAATTGAGAATTGGTGGCATACAAATATTTGTAAATAAATATTATTTTCAACTGGAATTGTGAGCAATGGGCATGGTGGCAAATGAGGACAATGATAGTTGTAGTGAATACTTCTGGAGGGCAAATTGTAAAAGGTTGCAATATGGAAAATCCTCCCCCCCCCTCCACAGCTGGCTCAGTACTAGCAGTGTGCCTGCAGATGAAGAACAGAGAGATCACGATTTTTTTTTTTGAATGAATGGAGAATGTGGACAGCTGTTCAGTGAAGTGTAATCAAATAACTCCTTTCAAAGAACGGGTGGTTCCTGCCTCCATGGGATTCTGTTTTCAGGATGTGCCTTAGCTCTAGGCCCCCTCTTCTCATTTGCAGATCAGAGTAAAGCCTTTGGCTTCTGCAAATAAACAGCTGGTTGGAGGGACAAGGTGTGCTGGCAGAATGTAGAGAGTTGCATTGCAGAGCTTGGGGCAAAGGGTTCTGTAAATTGGAAGGGCTGCTGTCAGAGGGGAAGTACAGCAAGGAGCCTTTTGAGGAGATTTATTTTGGAAACAGAGAAATGTAAAGAGCAGAGGTTGATGGATGCTCTCAGCAGCTGCTTCTCCTAGACAGGATGGAGGTTACAAAGAGAAGGAGGCCCCTGTTTTTTTAATTGCTCTCGCTGAGTTGGAGCCTTGTTCCTAAAGCAGAAAAGAATGGCCTTCAAGCCCTTGATGTAAACACCAGGTCTCCATATGCTGAACATTCCAGATATTTCCTCTGTTGTTTAAGTAGCACACTCAAAAAATCACAGATGACTGTAAATTTTCACTGCAGTGCAATGTGACATTTCCTATCCATGTTAATCAATGGATGCCTGTCTCTGCAAGAATCCTATCCGGTTCTTCCTTGGTTATAATCTTATAGATGTTTATCTGGGAATAAGCTCTACTGAATACATGGGGAAAACAGATTTTTTTTTCTGTTAAAAAGTGGGTGAAATGGTGAAATGCTAGGGGTTATTATGTTTTATCCACTTTTTAAAAAATCTGTGTGAAGTCAACCTCAGGCTGCTATTTTACACTAGTATTTTCCCTAATGTAGCAGTCAAGAAATATGCTGCAGACTAATGCTTGATAGAGCAGCCATGAAGACCTTGGAAAGATTTTCAGATGCCGGGATGTGTCTATACCTACAAAGATCAGAATAGTGCAAGCCATGGTATTCCCTGTGACACACTATGGAAGCAAAAGTTGAACTTTGAAGAAGCAGGATAGGATGAAGCAGGATATTGATGTTTTTGAACTTTGGTGTAGGAGAAGACTCCCAAGAATACTGTGGACAGCCAAGAAAACAAACTAATGGATGTATTGTCGAAGGCTTGGATCTTTGAATAATCAACCCAGAGTTCTCACTAGAGGCACAAATGACCAGGCTCACATTATCTTACTTCACACATATTATGCAAAGATCTATCTCTCTAGGGAAGGTTCTAATGCTGGTAAAGGTGGAAGCAAAGAGAAGAAGAGGACAACCAGCAGCAACGTTGATGGACTCAGCTACGGTGGCAAGTGGGTGCACTTTAGAAGATCTGAAAGACCAGGTTAGCGACAGATCATCATGGAGGATATCTCTTTATTGGTCACTAAGACTTGACACTGATGTGATGGCACAGTTTTCCCTAGTGACAGCTCAGACTTGGAAACTAGCTCATTTGGACAGAATTGCTGTGGGCCAATTACAAGGCACAGGAGTTGAGTGCCCTCTCCAGCCAATATTTCTCTGTATCTGTCACCTCATGCTTTATTGGAGCCAATATCTAGTTCTGCTTGATGGTCTTTGGGTTTCTCCAGGCATCCTATCCTACCTGAATTGTAGTTTCTAAAATACTATTTTCATTTTTAAACATTAAACGAGGGACATGTATGCTACTGAAGGGGGGGGGGGTTGCCTTTGCAGCTGCGCTAGAAAACACCATTAGCTCGAAGCGAGAGGGACACGTATGCAGGATACCTTGAGGGTATCCAGGAAAGGGTCTACAGCTAAACCGGTTCAAACTGCGGTTCAAACTGCCTTGTCCCTGTAAACTATAAAAACTGAGCTTGCATTTCCATTGGCGTGGCACACCCTGGCATATCTGCTGCCTATGCTTTGGGTTGCTGACCACCCAGCTGTCAGGCCTAGCCCAAGGAACTCCAAGAGACCATGCAAATTCAGTCCAGCTATGTTTATTAGCTACAACCCCTAGCAAGAATCTCCCCAGCCTAAAACCCCAGTCCCCAAAGTCCCCCAGCCACAACAGTGTGAATTCCTCAGGGAGGTGCCAGTCTCATCCTTTTGTTCCTCCCA